TACGTAAATTAACAATGTTTTGTATATTCTTTAAAACGACGGTTTCGTAAATAAGAAAATAAACAAAAAAAAAATCGAAAATTTGTAGTTTCATGAAAATTGGGAAATTTGCGTAAAATTTGCACTCCAGGAGACATAACGGTACCTCCTATCAATATGCGCTTATTTGTTTTTAGTCAACTCAGACCCGCTCATTACTAAGGGCTCTAAACAGAACCGCTCATCTGCACGGGTCCTACACAGAACCGCTTATCTTTCTGAAATACGGGCGGGTGATTCCCAGATTTCAATGGATGTTTCTAGGCGGTGTGCTTCAATTTAGAAACAAAAAGTGTAACATACTCTCTCGTCTGTACTGGAACACCGTATTTTAACTGCTATAACCCGTAAAAGCCTCCGGTATTGGGTGATATTATAGTAAATACGAGGGGCAACCTAACCTAACCAGCGCCCCGGCCGCGAGCAGATGAGCGGTTCTGTGTAGGACCCGCGCAGGTAAGCGGTTTTGTTTAGAACCCGATTTGATGAGCGGTTACGTTTAGCCTAATGAATTATAAGCGCATATTGATAGGAGGTACCGATAAACTCGGTTGTTCCCCTTTTCTTCCCCATCGAACCGGAAACTGCGAACAATAAAGATTTTTTTTTCTTCTGATCCGGAAACCGGTTCACCATTTCCTGAACCACCCCGCCGCTCCGCGCCCCGGGCTCGGGTGGGCTCTCAGGCCCGGGCGCGCGCCGGCCCCGCTAGCGCGCGCTAGCGGCCAATTGCCTGAGTCAACAGCGGGTCAATCGGCTCTGGCTGCAGCCATGGCCGGCTCTGGCAATCAATACGCTCTTATCAGACGCACAGAGAATCAGAAAACGTTGTCTCCGCCCGCTTCGTCTGCATGAAATGTTGTCGCTGTATTCACTACTGATGGATTCTCCAGGGAGTTTGAGGTAAAAAGAAGAAAGGGTATAGAACAGTATCGGTCGATTGGTCGATATTGTAGACCTACCACCGCCGTGACCGAACGGCGGGAGGCTCTCGTTCAATCACACTTTAAGTTTGTTACGAACAACTGTTCTTCGTAACGTACAAGGGATTTGGAGCACTTGTAATACAAACACAAATTCTTTGTATTACGAAGGGCCTGGTTTGTGTCAAAAACGAGACTATTCGTATTACGAATGGGGGCTGTTCGTAATATGAAGGAAAATCGTTCGTAATATAGCTGCTTTAGTGCACGTTACAAACCCAATTCTTCTTAATATGAACACTTATTCTGTTTGTAAGGGACTATGTAGAGTGGCAGGAAGTTTTCTGTTCTACCCGTTATTCTTTCTTGGGCTGGCTAAAAGAATAAATAAAAATGAGAAAAAAATCAATTTATAGACGTTACTCCTCAGAAAAAATCGGTCAGCTTTTACCTTATTCAGACAGTGACTAAGGCTGCAGAGTTCGAGGGGGCGGTGCGTCCTGCCGCCGTTCTGGTTTGGTTTTGTGCGTCCTCATTACCCGCCGCAATGATAAGGCTGGCGTTCTCTGGGAAAACCAAGTTGTCACAGTTTCAAGTCCACCTTACCGTATAGATGCATGACAAATATGAAAGTACAATTTTTTATGTGTCCTTTTTCGCAGATATGTTCCAGTTACGTTTCAGAGTTTCATTGAAACTTGATGATTATGCAGAAAACCAACACAACACACTGTAAAAAAACATCTGATTCTACGGGACTGCCAACGGACCTTCCGTTATAGCATGCTTCAGTAAAGAGGTACGGAAGAACCGTTTGAGTTGGACCATGTAACAAAATGTAGGGTACGGATGCGTCCGGAAAATAATTGCCGCTTACCTTCGTTAAATACGTGATACGGTTGCTCCTCACCCCAGAAATAAGGTACGGAACAACCCGGAACATCCGTTTTGCTTCGACCGTACAACTAAATTTAGGGTACGGACAAGTCCGGAAAATAATTGCCGCTGTTGTCCGTTGATTTTCCGCAGTTTTTTCTCACAGTGCAGATCATCAAAGATACGAGCAAAGATGTCACTGAAAATGCGAGAGTCGGATATCTCGCTCTCAGCAGTGAGATTGGAGAGCTCACCGGTGAGGGAGCACTCGCGCGAGCAGGCAGCCAAGCTGGCAGGCAGGCGTTCACGCGAGTGCTCACTGCTGGTGAGCTCTCTAATCTCACTGCAGGAGAGCAAGATCACTGACACGAAAAATATCGAGTGCGAGATATCTTATTCTCACTCAATCCGAGTCATAATTTGCGGTCCTCACCCAACAAAAGTTTCCTGCATATGGGGGAGGTCAGGGAAATAATCTTCCTCATACAGAGTGAGAATTCTGTGCATGTGACTTAAATAGGGTGAGCCTTATGGTCATCGCTCTGATCTGATTGAGCGAGGCAAAATTGTCTCACTCATATCTAGCACGACACCTCACTCACACGGAAAAAAATAAATTGGTCGTCAGAACTAAATAAGTTAATTTCGTGACAATCGATCAAAAAATTGTTGAGGTAACTAATAAGGTCAGGACCAAGATTAAGTTGTCAGAGCCAAGAGTTGGTCGCTAAAACGAAGCACGTTGCTGCAGGAGCCAATTCGCGGTTTGTTTTCAGAACGAATGCGTTAGCTCAAGCACCGAACAGCTTGTTCTGACAACTTAATCTTGGTTCTGAAAACAAACTATTAGTTACCTCAACAATATTTTGATCGATTGTCACGAAATTAACTAATATTTAGTTCTGACGACCAATTCATTTTTTTCCGTGCAAAGGTTTTCAGTGGCGTCACTTCTACTAGCGATATCACGTGCGTATAGTGCCACACTAGTTAAAAAATATTACTGATTTTACATCAATTGTTGACAATTTGTTACAGATTAGGTGCAATTGGAGGTTTGGAAGCCATGGCCCCTACGGCCGCATTGAGTATGTAATCCCGCAACACTGCTGCGTATTCAGAGTTACACTCGGTACAAAAAGTAGTGTCCCTCCCCATTCTGAGTGTGGGTGCACGGGTTAATGGGTTACGCTGCGCAGGAGATTTCTTTCCCGGTCTGCTCAACTGAATTCACTGTAAAAAGCTTGCGAAGAACTTTCTTTGCATTGCAAAGAATTATCAAACGTTGTAAACTGCTTTGCATTGCGAACTAAATCCTTCGCACCTTACAAAGAAAATCGTTCGTAGCGCTGCAAAGAATTAGTTTGTAACCTGGCAAACCATTTCTTCGCGACTTACGAAGAAAATTGTTTTCAACTCAAAGAAAATAGTTTACATTACAAACTTCCTCTACAATGCTTGAAAATTCTTTTCACGAATTTTGCAGTGAACACCCTAGGCATTGTCAGCTAGCCCAACATGTGCAGGACGCCGCCGGTCGAGGCATTCGCAGGTGCCACGGAGGACGGCAGAGTTCACAGAGTGCGGTCACCGCTGAGCCGCCTGGAGAGTGGAGTGGAGCGGCTGGCGAGGCGTGCGAGCGCGAGTGAAGTAGACGGGAAACAGGCCCGATGTTCCAGTCCTCCACCTGGTAATTTTCTGTTTTGGCTGAGCGCCCCCCCTCCCCCCCCCCCTGGCGGTCGGCGGCACCGACGGTGGGCCGACCACCATCATCTGGCCGAGCTTGGCCACGCCAAGAGCACGGCGCAGTAGAGGTCAGTGCGCGGCGCGCGGGGGCGCGGAGGTCGACGGCGTGCTGTCCGACCCAAAACAGGTTCACCGTAACCTTCCAACAACTTTAGCGCGCTGCTCTCCAAAATGTATCTGCTCTCTCTCTCTCTCTCTCCCTCTCTATCTCTCCTTCACTTTTCAGAATCATGCGCGTCTACCAAAATGACATCGCCAAAACCTGACGGAGCACGAAGTGGGCCACGAGGAATGTAGATACCACAGCATTTCCTCGTGATAAATTGGTGTAACATACTTGGATGGAAACACTGGGTCAGAATGTATGTGTTGGCATTTCCAGTGCGAATCCTGCTTTTCGGGCCGACCTTCTCGTATGAATTTTTACTTACTTCTGTACTGTAGTACGCCACTCCCATTCACTTGCTGCAGTTCTTCCTCCTCCACCTCACTCGCAGTTGCACACACGCGCTCGCACACACACACACACACACACACACACACACACACACACTCACACACACACACACACACACACTCAGAGCGCAGCAGGCTGGTGCGCCACTCCGAATTGAGAGGAGGGGAGGAGGGGGCTGTGGCGGGGCGCGGCGGTGGCCGGGGTCGCCCTCTCGGGGGCGACGGCCTGCTCCGCCCGCTGCTGCGCGGGCGCCCTCGCCTCGCCGCTCAGCCCGTCCGCGGGGGGCGCGTCGGCGCGTCCGGGACCAGACACGCCGCGTGGTGGTCACGGACGGAGCGCTCATGCGACCCACAGAGCGAGGCGAGGACGGCGTCCTTGGCGACCACCCGCCCGGTCCTGGGGCCTCCTAGGCTACCCGCGGGTCACATTGACGTCACCGGTCGCCATGAAGGACGAGATGCGCCCTGCGAGCAAGTCCGTCCTGCTGGACTTGACCATAGCCACGGCCTACGGCCTGTATAGAAAGAGAGGGGGAGACCGACGGACAGAGAGTAGTTGCGCATTTCGAGCTGAAGCCAATCTCGCGCTCCCTCGCTGCTGGGCGCAAGTTGTGACGAGGCGGCGTAGCGCCTGCCGACGAGTCGAGTCGAGCCGAGCGAGTGAGGGCAGCCGGGCCGCGGGGGAGCCGGGCCCGGGACGGGCGGGGGCGGGGCGGGGCGCGGCGGGGGCCTTCTGCGTCTCGCTGAGCCACGCGGCGCGGCGGCGCTCGGCTGGGCTGGCGGGGCGGGCGCGCCGCCGCGCCAGGCCGGCAGCCAGGGCTGGCGGGCAGGCAAGCGGGGCCGCGGCCACGGGAGCGGACCCCCAGGCCGGCCGCGGCGGCGGGCCGGGCGCTCGGCTCGGCTCGGCTCGGCGCGGTACGGCCGCGAGCGTGCCCGCAGCGCAGCCAAGCGCCAAGCCAGCCAGCCAGCCCAGTCGCATACGTGTCTCCCTGCTGATCGGAGCTCGAGCGGGCTGTGTCGCGTCCTGCCACCCCCGCCACTCGCCCCGCGCCCCGCGCCCGCCTTGCGCCCCGCCCCGCGCCCCGACGTGCGTCGTCAGTTTGTTTACATGATGCCCCTGCCCCCCGGGCCCCTCCCAGTGCGCCCCCAGTGAGTGTCAGTGGTTGTCAGTGACGTGCTAGTGAACAGTGACCCCGTGCCGCCCCCGCCGCCGCCCGCCGCCGCCATGGAGGACGTGCACGGTGACCTACTCGACTGCGGCTTCGAGCTGGAGCCCCAGACTCGCGCCCGGTCCAACACATGGCCGCTGCCACGGCCGGAGAACTTCGTGGACATGATGAAGGAGGAGGGCGACGAGGCGCAGTGCGCGGGCATGACCCCCAACATGTGCCTCGGCCTCGGCGGGCTCGGCGACCTCCAGGTCGGCCAGGTGCCGGGCGCGCCGCCGCTGCCGGGGCTCGGCGCGCACCCCGCGGCCGCGGCCGCCGCCGCCGCCGCGGCCAAGAAGAACTCGACGCGCCGCAACGCCTGGGGCAACCTCTCGTACGCGGACCTCATCACACAGGCCATCACCACGGCCCCCGACAAGCGGCTGACGCTGTCGCAGATCTACGAGTGGATGGTGCACAACGTGCCCTACTTCAAGGACAAGGGGGACAGCAACAGCTCCGCCGGCTGGAAGGTGAGAGAGATGAGCGGCTCAACAGGTCCCAGCCAGGCCGCCCGGCTCAGCCCGGCTCGGCTCGGCCACTTAGGCCCCGGCTAGGCCTCGGCTCGGCTCGACTCGACTCGCAGCCGAGCGAAGGACGTTCGGTGTTACGTCGCAGCACAGGCAGGGGCCAGCCAGTCAGCCAGTCGACGTATACAGCCCGCCCCGCCGCGCCCCGCCGCGCCCCGCCCCGCCCCGCCTGATCTGCGGCCAAACTCACACACTCACACTTGCCGTCCGAGACGTAAGCCAAGGCGTCGGCCCGCCAGCGGCGTAGCACGCGAAGGGGAGTGGGAGGGGGGGGGGAGTGCGAAAGAGCGCGCGCGCGCGATAGAGAGAGAGAGAGCGACCCTTGGATGTATCAGAGACAGAACCCGAGGGAAATAAAGTCCAGGGCCAGGGCCGCCAGGAGGGCAGGGCAGGGCGAGCCTCCAGGCGTCCAGACTCTAAGGCGGGCGGACTCTCTTTTCGATACGACTGGCCGGGTTAGGTTGGGCGGCGTGGGGCCGGCGGGGCCGCGCCAGGAGAGCTGCTGGGCCAGCCGACAGGTCCGTGCCCTCCTGCCCCTCCTGCCCCTCCACGCCCC